CGTACAGACAGTATTACCTACAACCATTGTGTCCCGTACAGACAGTATTACCTACAGCCACTGTGTCCCGTACAGACAGTATTACCTACAGCCATTGTGTCCCGTACAGACAGTATTACCTACAGCCATTGTGTCCCGTACAGACAGTATTACCTACAGCCATTGTGTCCCATACAGACAGTATTACCTGAAGCCATTGTGTCGCATACAGACAGTACGTAGTTAGAGACCACGTGGCTCGCATGCGAGATATGAGAAATAGAAACAAAATTTTAGGGACCGGAATGGAAGAGGCCTAAGAACTTAGCCGTTGATGGAAGGTTACTGTTAGAATTTGGTTTCGCTGTAGCTTAACACTGGCTGCTGTGAACACGATATGGAACCGTCGGTTTCTTGACTAGCCGAGCCGCTCTCAGCTTGTGAAGAATTACTGACACCATGGAGACAGGCTGTTGCATGTATCTTTGCAGTGTCTGTAGCACACATCCACTCTGCGGACCGCCCGAAGGCTCCCACTGCAGAACCCTTGAGGATATGCAGAGTGGTCAGTATGACCCTCCCACAATTTGCCCACTCATTTATTCATTACCCCCCCCCCCAATTGCCCTCGCCTTTATGGGAAAGCCTTTTGTAGGAAAGGTAAGAGAGATGGAAAACATTCACATAACGATGATGGAGGGAGACTGGGAGAGGAAGGAAGTCCCGGGAGCTCGGTACAGTCCAGTGAAGCGACATGTCGCGTCGGGCGGGAGAGATGGACCTGAGACTCGTACTGACTCCGTCCGTGGTACAGGATTTACATGGCGCCTACTGCTCTTTCCTGCTTCTATTGGCCAACATAAGTCCGCCATTCGGCATCACCAAGATCCGGACCATTCCAGTCTCTCTCTCGCGCTGTCTTAGTTTCTTTCAAACACTTTTTAATATTATCTTACTTTCTATAGCTACGTTTCCGAAGCGATCTCTTACTCTAGATATTATAAAAAAAAGCTGTGTTTACTTTTGTTTCCGAAATCCGTGCTACATACGTGTATCCTAAACATCTCGTGTTTCTTTTTTTGATTACACCTGTTGTGTTTATAAAATTACGAAATCCCTTTCTCCCACCTAGACCATCTTGGGTCCAGATATTTTCAGCACCCTGTTCTCTGATAGCCTCAGTCTGTCTTCTTCCCTCAAGATGAAAGCGAAGGGAGGCTGTTAGTTGTTCTGACGGGAAAATAGGCGAGTAGTTGGGAGCAGTTCTTTTACAGACTAATAATAATGCCAAAGGCAAATCTGGTACTGTTCATAAAATAATATGCAAGCGTAAATATGACGAAGACGTGAAACACCACGCATCCTTTGCCTTAAAAGTTAATGGAAATTACTCTTCAGCGTCGGGCTTTGTCCGCCTTAACCACAGGGTACAAACCGCCCTTTACAAACTAATCAAGTGACTAACTTCTTGAAGCACAGATTTCTTGAAAAGCTGATATTCGCTCAGCTCACATTCATCACCTATTATGATACCCGAAGGTTCATTACCATATTCACAGTAATCCGCCAATGGACCCTGTCCGTTCTTCCATCGACTTCTGGATCTCTCAATTGGTCTATTCCCTTCATCTCTTCTTTTCGGAATTGCCACAGCAGCTTGTTTATATCAGAACATGTTACGCATGCCTCGCTTTGTTCTGGTCAGTTTCTCAGAATTCGATGCTGAAACTCGATGGTACATCTGTTCAGCGGGGCGTTTTAAATGTATGGACCTTTCCCTGAACAGAACCGAGAGCAGCCCACATAACTGGTGAAAGCAGAGTGTTACCATAAATGTAAGAAATTGTTACCAGGTAACAAAGGCCTCCGCCTGCAGTACATGAAGAACGTAAAGTGCGCAGGGTTGGAGTGAAATTAATGGCGCGGCACATTGGAGCTAGAGAAATGAAATTGTATTTCTTTATCTGTGGTTCTGTTTTTGAAATGTGTAAATATAAGGCCTTCTGCTATGGACATTATGATTGGGGGGGGGATGTTGAGTGACATTCCCTTCTAACGGGCGTAATTAAATAGGGTCATCCATTTTGTCCTTCATTACGTACACAGGCTTAAGGAATTCCGGAATATTGTAATCAGGGCAACCTCTCACAACAGCAGGAGCATAAGGCATGAGTCACGTGACACATTGATTTGTGGTAAAGTTGCTAGAGGGGAAAGGGGGTATGCATAGTGTGATTTATATCTCAGTCGTGGAGAAACGTGACCCCCACTTGACCAATGCCATCAATCATATGCGTCTCGGAAAGTAACCACCCCATCAAAAAATAATAACTTTTACTGTACCCGTTTGGTCTGCATGAAGAAGACTGTGATATTGACTTTCAGGACTTTGATAAAATGAAGCAGTTGGATGTAAGCCTGTACGGTATTTGTGTTCTGTTTGTATTGCAGGTATCTGTCTATAGGCTACACGTATATATCGCTCTTTCTTTCGTTTCATTTTTGTGTGCCTTTATTACATTCGGAAGCGTATTAACTCGAATTGGCGGCGAGTATAACCTGCTTCACCCCCAGTCCCCGGAAATGAGCGGCCCATGTAAATCCATAAACGTCACATGAACAGCAGTGAATAATTCACAGCTGCCACCTTGTGAGTATGTGTTAAAATACAGACGGATCTATAGTGGTGCCAGCGACTGGAACCTAGGCACATGGCAGCTTTTTGTCCTGTAGCTTGTCTGACAAAAGTGGCAAATTGCTGCAGTGGATTAAGTGTGCGTATTTACCATGTTTGCCTTCCGATACTTTGTAGGCCTAACTCATCGGCCTTGATACAGCAAGCTGACGGCTTTGCTTGCACACTTCGACCCGAAAAATGAAGGCAGATCCTCCGGGACGTCTGTGAACTTCCCCAAATTTTCACGGATTTAAATTCCAGCTGATAGTATTCATCTTTCTATGATTACCTAACTTTTTACATAGGATGAGATGGACAGAGCATGTGAACAACTATAAAAAATTATTTGAATTGTTGAAACCTTGTGAGAGCATATTATGGAAGTTGATCCCAATATTGAACGTAGCCTTACAGTTCGCCGAACGATAAACAATGCAATTCGTTGCTGCAAAGAAATGTATGAAGAGAAAAGGCCAAAGAAGAAAAATGTGCAGACATCAATATTGCAATTTTTAGAGAATAAAAAAATGAATTGCAAAAAACACGAATTTGTATAAAATTATTTCTAATAAAGATATTTGAATTTATTAATCGCGTTTTATTTATTGAAAAACTGATATTGTTTTTGGAACCAATTATCATTTTTTGTATATATTTAGTTCCTCAAACAGTCCGGGATATGGCGGAACCGATTACCCGGACTATGCGAGGTATTGCTGTATTAATACACCACTCTCACTAATTTTTAGATATTATTTATATTGATGTTGTTTTTTAACGAAGCAAAGGGAAATTGTTTACAGCTTTACAGTTTGGTTGGTGTAATTGCAGTGTGATTAGATTTTCGGTAGTACACACGGAACTGCAATAATTACAAGAATACCGAGTAGGCGAAGTAGTAAGAAACTATTTCAGAATACAAGATACTGACATCAGTAATTTCGTCTACCTATCTCGCCGGGGGGGGGGTAGCGTAGTTGGTTGAGGTACTATGCTAGAAGCCACAAGGTCGCGGGTTCCAGTCCTGATGAGATAATTGGATTTTTTAATTGACCTAATCCTTCCAGCCGCACTATGGACCTGAGGTCGACTCAGCCTTGAACAGAAATGAGTACCAGGAATTTTCCTGGGGGGTAAAGGGCGGCCGGCGCGTAAGGCCGACTGTCTACAAAACATTGGAGCCTCGACGTCTCACAACTCTGTGGGCCTCCACGACCTGATACAGGATAACTTTTACGTTGCTAGGAGAATGTTGTAAAGAAAAAAATTATACAGTTGGTGGAGTGGGATTTACTGCATTGGAAGATGCCATCCTATGTAGGCTATTGTTGCACTAATAGATTCCTTCCACTGTCATTGCAGTTCTTATTTTAGATGCCGTGTGGCTGTAGAATTCAGAACGTAATATTTCGTAACTTGAAAATGAGATAAGTTGTTGTGCTTTAACAACCGATTACATGCAGAAAGGAAAAAAAGCGAGGCCCTGAAATATAGGCTTTATGCCTACCTCAGGAAATGGACGGGGTTAGGAATCAGCCTCCGAGAATCGCGAAACAATTCTGTTCTCCTCATTATACTTCCGGTCCGAAGCGCTCAGTCACACTCCCTGTGCGATGGTTAAACCCGAAACCGCATAATTTTTCTGTTTCTAAAATCCCTTATATTAAAATGCTCCCATATGCACCAAGCTGTCCCAAGCGATGGCCACAATTTTGTAGTTTACTCATCTTGTGCTAAATGACCCGTCCATCTTCTCGATTTGACATCCCAAATCATATTTTCCGAAGAGTGAAAATTGTGAAGTTCCTAATTATGTAATTTTCTTCATCCTCCTCCTGTCTTTTCTCCAAATATTCTCCCAGACACGCTGCTCTCAATCACCCTGAGTCCACAGAGAGCACTGTTGGTGGTTACGAGTCTCAGCCCCCCCCCAGTCTACTGGGCTCTTCCCTCGCAGTGAGAAGAAAAGTTTTCCATCCATATGCAAGGTGTTTTGTATATCTTAACCATTTTGCTGAAAGTGACGAATAACTCGTCGCCTGTCTTCTGTTACAGACTGGACAGTGGGCACACGGATCCTCGTGGGAACAGACATCAGTTCCAGTGACGTATCCACTGTTGACTCCTGAAGGGACTGTTCAAGGGATACACGTCATTTGCTGTGGAACCCACGTCTGGGCCTGGAAGGGAGCGGAAAGGGAACGTTTATCTTGTTTCGAGCAATGGTGATTCTGTTGCTGTAGCAACCTTGTGGCTGGGAAAGACTAATTATGAAAACAAATATTTCAACATCCGGTACTTACCGCAGCGAGCAATTCTCTATAATTTTGGAGCAAGGTGTGCAGAATTTGCCGAAATCCCTTTCCTTGGCGTCCGGAAGCAACGAATGATTTCATGGAAGCCTATCCACAGAAAGTCTGTCTCAGCGTAAGGGTTGCGGGTGAAGGGGGGAAGAAACAGAATGACTGCTATAATGCGTGATGACTAGACTGTCAAGAAACTATGTGACTCTGACTGGCAGCGACAGGCTTCAGGAGAGACAAATAAAAGTATGAACATTTTCGCAGACGAAGTGACAATTTTCAGTGCTAATAAGAATGGTTCCTCTGTCAGGCTATATCTGTATGTATGCTGTCCGCCCTCTTACAGAATTCTGAAGCAAGATAGATGCATAACCTGAAGACGTTCGAACAGTGTAATGGAAATAAGCCATTGAATAGCGTTAATAGCTACCCAAATCCCATTCAGAAGATAATGGTTGAATATATGCAGCAGAATCATTTTCATGTGGCCGCTTAATTGTGACACAGGCTTTACAATAATGAGGTCTCGGAGAGAAGCCGCGACCTACCAATAATGGATTCTATTACTGGGCTGAGGAATGCGCTGCCCTTGATCGGCAGGAAGAAGGGAAGTACCTCCCCGGATTTTTTAAGATTCAGAAGGGAAAAACGGAAGAAATATACCAAATATTAATACTAGAACTTAAAAAATACTTAAAAATATTGGTCTGCCCTGAATGTTCCATGGCGATCAGTAAAAATAGTCTACAAGACTCATGCGTAAGTTTTCAAGCAACTTTTCTGCTCCCTTCCCCCTAAAAAATACGTAATTCTGGTGCCCCACGTAATGTTGCTATGGGAGCAGTTTTGCTCCCTCCAGAATGGTACACACACCTCAACCTCAGCGGCCTCGTGATGATAACACTGCTATACACATCCATTTGTCGAACCCAAAGCCTTCATGTTCTGTATCTGACGTACAATGCAAGCCTTCATGTAGATGCATGGAATGAGTTCTTTAATATGCCTGAAAATTGATGATCGTTTCTGAAATATCACATAGGATGAAGAGAGGTCAAAGAATTCGAGCGGCATTGCTGCTAAGTTATGGTTGCTAAAATTGAAAGAAACTGTTTCTTTGAGAAGAGACTCAAAGGTTTGTTTTTTTTTAATTAGTGTAAAAAGTTTGTTAGTTATTAGTTATTAATCAGAAGGAAAATACGTACTCTGTTGCGACCCATAGCGATTGATTTCAGCAAAGCATCAAGCAAGCAGTTTTTGTGGTTTTTGTAAATAAGAAATATGACTTGGCTATTTTCGTTTGTTTCCCTGTAGCACCGACAGTCACGCCACAGGCGGCAGTGTGACGAAATCACAGCCAGTCTCAACACTGAACCTGCTTTGGCAAAAGAACGCTGTCTGTTGCTTCTAATAGAATGTAATTTTTAATGATTAAGGAGCTTGATTCGATTTCGTGTAGATCTGTACCTACACGCGGCCGAATTGTTTACGTTTGTGCCATTGTTCTCCTTTCCACTTATTGCCATACTAATGCCAGGATATCCGTTAGGATTAAAATGGCTCTTTTAGGACCTTATGCATTACTTAATTTCGAGGGAGGAGTTAAAAATCGGTGGATAATACTGTTATTCTGAAATCAGCTTTATTTTCCGTGCAACATTATGTTGTATAAAATTTAGTAAAAGGTATTCACTTTAAAAAAGATTGTCACTACATTTTTCGACCAATGTGATCATCATCAGGTGTTAAAATTATTGGACGGGGAAATTGCTGTCTTCTGTTGTTGTTTATGTTGTTAATAAATAGGTTCATTCGATGCGCATGTGTGTTTGGGTTGGTGGGTTTTCTCTCCTCATGTGTGTTGTGCTGCGTGTCTTGTTAAAGTGAATAACTTTTAATAAATTCTGTAGAATATAGTGTTGCAGGTGAGACTGTAAAGAAGCATTTTATTTGACAGGTTTTCGCGTCATTAAAAAAAAAATTCAAAGAACTACCCTCGTAATTTACGACAGTGGGCTGTCAGAAGATTTTCAGGAGTTCCTCGTAATTAGAATAAGCCGGTATACTGGGCATGACAACAAAGTTCGCGAACTCGCCACAGTGTGCTTGCCGTGGCAGCATTGGACAGAAACAGCATGGTTTTATGACATTATCATATAAGCGTTTTACAGCTGTGTTGTTGTTAATCTGTCTGAATAAGTTAGATTGAAACGACCCGACTTCTTGCGAACAACTCATGGATCTTGCATAACGACATTGCACCTGCTCACGGCACTGTCTGTGAGGGAATTTTTAGCCAGTAAACAAATAACTGTACTGGAACACCCTCCCTATTCATAGGATCTAGCCCCCAGTGACATTTTTCTGTTCCCGAAAATAAAGGAAATATTAAAAGGACGACAGTTTGATGACACTGATGACTTCAGGAGTAATACGGCGGCAGCTCCGAAGGTCATTCACAAAACCAATTCCAAAATTGTTTTGAAGGGTGGACTAGGCGCTGGCATTGGTGCATAGCTTCCCAAAGGGAGTACTTTGAAGGCGACCATAGTGATACTCAGCAATGAGGTATGTAGCACTTTTACGACGATGAGTTCTCGAACTTAATTGTCAAACCACGTATGCTCTGTTTCTTACAATGATCACATGCTCTAGAGTCATGTGCGCTCCTTGGATAATGGTCCGTAGGCTTTTGGTACTGACAATGTATCGGCAGTACAAACCGAAACATATGCCTACAGAGATGCCTATAAGCCTCTTTATTATCTGCATTGTGTGTGAATGCTGGGTCTTGGCAGGAGAGCTAACGTCAAAAAGTTTTGCGAAAGCCGGAAATGCTTCATGTAGAAATGGCCGTCAGAAATTGACTACCTCGCTGGTATGCACTAAACGCAGATATGCCACACCCGGTACAGCCGTTCGTGTTGCGTCTTGTGCCAAATCAGGTTCGATACAATAAAATGCAAACACTTAGTTCACACAAATGAAATGTGATTTAAATAACCCTTTCGCATGATTTTTCCAGTTCCCTATTATGCAATAAAGAGAAGATATTGACAAAGAAAGGCAAACAAGACACACGAAGAACACAACGATATAAATTTCCCCAGATCTGTTTTCATTGTAAATTAATGTAACGGAGAATCCTTGTTCCCTTCGTTGTTACCTGTTCATAATATTTTAGCGGAGGAGAATAATTCCTCTCTGTGAATGGAATGATAAAGATTTAATTATTATTGTGCGGAAATCTGGAATTAAATGAGGAAAGTGGAATCCAATTCCTATTCCTTCCCGATCCATGTGAATTTATCAATGTTTGTTTCCCAGATGCTGTGTCACCGAACATCCTAGATATGTTGTCAATGCACAACCACACGGAGGACGGGTTTCCATGTGCTCGGGACTTTGTTACAGCTGCGGCAGGGAAGCTTATGCCAGTTATAAATACATTTATTTACGTTACTTATTTATTTGTGCATACCATGCATTAACTTCCTCGAAATTGACGACAAGCGAAAGAAAACGGACGCGAAATTCAATGCCTTTTCTTATATACGAAAGACTTACCATATTTTCTATAGTGGACATATACACACTTCTTTATGCATGACTCTTATTCATGCCCGCTGGAACTTATCCACAAAATGCGGGTAGCACATATTACCCATTGTCCAAATGCAGTGTATTTTCTTTTCTGCACGGGGTCCCTCATTTAGGTCACACTGACATTTGTTTTCAACAAGATATACCGAAGATTTTCGATTTATAATGAGACAACATAATGAGGAAGGAATAACATGAGATAGTGTGGACTCATGTGTTTCTATTTCTTGGATTTTCTAAGATGTCTGATTCTTAATAATGTCTTCTGATTTCAAACATTTTTTTCGGCCTTACAATGTCAGGAGGTTCAATGAAATATTGCAGAACAGGAATGGAGCTTATGACACTAAGAATTAAGGTAAGACATTCGCCACGGAATTTCCTCAACGAACAAAAGTTTATGTAACTTAGAAATTACATTCATACAAAATTTGCTTACAACACACACACATCTAGTGTGATAATTATACGAATACATGTCCCCAGGCACGTAAGAAATCGTGAAATATCAAATGTCATTGTTTATGGCTCATTGCCAGAAATACAAAATGCCATGTATTGCTCCGTGACCATATTGTTATCATTTCACAAAAAGTGTCGTAAAATGGCGCATCTTTAAAACGTACGTCCATTCGTTTGTGTGCGACCTGTACATAGAAATATACCCCGAAAAGAAAATATGATAATCATGGCACGCATTAATTGAAATTTCGTCCGTACTCGAAAAAGTCTCAGTAAATCCACCAATGGCTGCAGAAAATGGTGACTTCTCCGAAGAAACCAGGTTTATGCCACACGCTGAAATTCACCTTCCATGATTTGTAGAATATTTCGGATTTCAGTTAGCAGGACTTCCTTCTTGCATGGATGATTTCTCTTCTTCGGTCAGTTCTCCTAAGGACTGCGGGGTTTCTTTGCTCTAGCGTTTACAGCACAATCACCACATAACGAAATTTCAGGTCGTGTAATGGAATTCAACGAATAGTTTGTGGATTTACATTGGCTTGCGTTTGTGAGTACATGAAACCAGGCTTAATCCGTCATAAAAAGACGCCTTGCTTTTACAATACCGCCATTAAAATTTACAAAAACGGACTTACAAGAATTAACCCAGAAACTGGTTCTGCAACCTGAAGATTGTGTAACACAGGAATTTTTTACGAACAAAATTCCAGAACCTTGTGGGCTCCAGGAAATTAAGAGTTTCTTGGAACAACCGACGTAGCGAATTTTAGGGCATATATTTGAGAGTTTCCGGTATCAGGGCGTGCTTCCATTGATGCCTCGGCAGCAAACCCAGTTACATGCCATTCTGTCAACAGCTCTAATACGTACGACATGATGGATAAAGGCGGCATCTTCCGCTGAATTTTACAAAGACGTTTGTTGTCAAATTTCTTTCTTGTAACACATTCGTCAGCGCTGCATCTCGTGATTCTTCACCAGCACAAAAATTATACAGGTAGTAGATACCCGTGGATGCACCCTCCCCACATTACCTTCGGTTTCATCTGCTTCCCCTCCCACTTCTGTCGTCAGGTTTTCCACGCAAATATTGGCCGTGGTAACCTTCACTAGCGACAAACGCTTTGGGCCCGGTTGACATATGCCAGAGGGGCTGAAGGGGTTATAAAATTGGAGGCAGAAAAGGGGAAGCTTCGAGACCTGTCATGCCCACCATCAGTGGATTTCAATCCGCGTGTTCAGTGTGACTGAACCATGACAGATGTGCAGAGACTGACTCGTTCTCACGACGGGCTCTCTGCAGAAGTGTGAGTCATTCTCTGAGCACTCACTGCTAAGTATCGGCTAGTCATTCTCTGAGCACTCATTGCTAAGTGTCGGCTTATGCTCTTTGCGTACAAGTTTCAGCATCTTGTCTTGAACGGCGCCTAAAATTTGTTTACAATTTTAGTAAGATCCGCATTAGCTAAAGACCGTCTTATCTGTCCGAATTTTAGTAATCGCCCGTCGTAATTCATTTTTACAAGGCACCACTTATGGTTTACAGTTGGAAATCTAACAGGAGCTCTCTGCCTGACTGGCAAACAAACACAGTGTTTGTTCGTGAGCAAAAATTAAGCCTCTGCTCTTCTCACATGGAGCTCTCTACCCTTAGTCCCTGAAAGCTATGCCGGCGGTAGTGTAGCCACTGGTAGAGTCACTCATGCCGGAAAGATCAAGGGGTAGGAGACAGGCGAAGAGGGACACCCCGGTCCTCCAGGTTGGAGGTTGGGCGTGAGGCTAATAACCTCACACCGCAAAAACTAAATTGTTCAGAAACCATATAATCTGCCTCGAATGGATGGACTGAACGGAAAAAGACGAGGATGTACAAAATGGAAGTGAAAGTAGAGGGAGGAAGATGAAGAACAGAGAAGAATGGAGGCAGATTGTTCAGGAGGCCACAGCTCACCCTGAGCTGAAGGTTGGAGGGGAAGGAAGTAAGGTCTACCCTTAGAAATATGTGTTAACTGTTTTGGATACAAATGGCGTGTATATCAGCATCACAGTACGTCGTTTCAAGCGTGATTTGTGAGAACTCTACAGGAACATACGCGATATTACGACAGTCTTAGTGGACGATTTATTGAGACGGTAGATTTCGGCTCCGGGTGCGTACGGACGTGTTGAGAAACCATTCCCAGAA